CTCTATGTGCATTGCACATGTAGATGCTCATAGTGGTGAATAAATTCCCACAAAGGGAGATGATCCTGTACAGGCAACTTTCTATTCAAATGCTAAGTCCCATTGGATGGTAGCCTTTGACATGTTGCAAATGGCATGTAGACATGCATTTTTGAAGTGAACCAATTACCTTTACTGGATCAATGGCAGCTCATGCAATAGCCCCACCGATGCAATAAAGGGAATGACTTCTGCAGTAGGTTGATTAAATGCCCTCATTGTTCATGTATTTATTTATATTACAGGAGTGATCGTGAATGTGCTTGGTGAAAAATATAGGCAATCAGGCACATAGGAAAAGAATGTCCCAGGGCTGTGTGTTTGTGTGTGTGGATGTTAACAAAAAGTAACAGCCAGCCAAGAGCAACACTGGGTGACTTGGCTTGAAAAAGCCAAGAAAAATTACAGAAAAATAAAGACTGAGTCCTGTGACTTGCTTTTCTAGTATGTTGCCAAGTTGGTTGCTCTTTGTTCCTTGTCTATGAAAAAACTGAAGTAGTACTTGACACAATGTATGAATAGTCTGGGCACTCCAGCCTCTCCAGAGCTATTATTTCCATTACACTTCCATGAGACATTGGAAAACTACCACTGGGCCTGTTGGATAATAGTGGATGCAGCCCATAAACCATTAAGTGCATTTTAGTCCCCCATACACCAATGGAATTTATGTGATTGATTTCCACGGGATTGAGGCATGCTTATTTTTTTTGGGGGGGGGGTTTGCAGCTCATGTTGGTGAATTACTTCAAAGGCAATTACTTTTGCTTTGAAAATTTGAAAGATATTGAAGGTTTTGCCATAAACCATATATTGTTTCTTTCCTTCCTGCATCCAATTAAACTGTCTAGCAGTCAAGCGTGCATGTGATGAAATCTTTCAGACACTGAGATCCTAAATGTCTGATGGGGCTATAAATATTTTGTTCCATTTGGTGTTCTTATATCAGTGTTGACCTGTCCCTGCCTCTCCCCCCAAAGTTCTAAATGCTTCAAGCTGCTGCTTCTTCTTGCACATTTGTTTTCCAGCATGACTGGAATAAAGTCATCGACTCAATCTGCAGGTTTTTTCTCTCAGACTCACATCTTGTCATTCATACCTTCATAAAACTGAAGCTGGACTACTGGAACATAATCTTTGTGGGGCTGCCTGCCATGGTAGTTCAGAACCACATACCCTCCAACATTTTCCCGATGAAAATAGGAATGTCCGTCTCAATAATAATAATAATAAAATAAAAATAAATAAAGTATTAACAATAACAGCAATTATTTGTAACCTGCCCATTTGACTGGGTTGCTCCAGCCACTCTGGGCAGCTTCCAACACATAAAAACATAATAAAACATTAATTTATTTTTTTTTAAAAAAAACCTTCCCTACACAGGGCAGCCTTCAGATGTCTTTTAAAGGTTGTATAGTTATTTATCTCCTTGGCTTGGGTGTCATATAACTCCATACCCTCCAACGTTTTTCCAATGAAAATAAGGATGTCCTAAAGAAAAGTGGGATATTCTGGGATTAAATCAGAAACTGGGATGGCTTCTCTAAATCCAGTACTTTCCCTGGAAAATAGCGACACTTGGGAGAGTCTGGAACCATGAACTGTTAACTGAATGCTATGGCTCTGGTCCTGCCAAGGCTAGGCCACACTTGTATATTACACTGCACTGGCTTTCTGTACTGGCTCACTATTGTCTGATGGGCTCAATTCAACCAGGTTTTGACCTGTAAACCTTTAAACTGTAACCTGAAAGACTGCTGCCTCTCCTATGTTCCCATTGATATATTTAATTTCCCTGGAAGTGTCCTCTTTACCACCCATACTTATGGTTTGACAGCAGCTGGCAGAACATTTCTAGTGGTTTCCTTTCAGCTTTTGATTAGAGCAGAAAGGGGAACTCTTGGTCCTCCAGATGTCATTGGACTGTAACTCCCATCACCCGTTACTGTGTTGGCTGGGTTTGATAGGAGCCTCAAACAACTGAAGGACCATGTGTATTTCATCCCTGGCTGAGTTGGCTAACCTGTTACCATCCAGATGTTGGCCATATAGGTTGATGGTAATTGAATCTAACTACATCTGGAGGCCCATAGGTTAGGCACTCCCCAGGCTGGACATCTGCCAAAGTCCAGGTACTAACTCTGGGATGAGGCTGGCATTGTGTGAAATATCCCATCATCTCAGAGTAGCTCATAACCTTAGCCTTCCCCAACTTAGTGCCCTCCAGAGATTGTTGGATTCTAGTTCCCCATTAGTCTCATCAATTGTTAGGGATAATGGCAACTGGAATCCAAGAACCTCTGGAGGGCACCAGATTGGGGAAAGGCTATCATAAAATCATGATCTAATAGTTTTAGTAAGTGCCTCCTGGAGTGGACAGAGGGGTCAAATACTCTGTATATTCCATATGCCTGTAAGAATCTGTCCATCAAGCCAATCAGTTGCATGCAGAAATTGCACAGTAAGGATATAATTGTCCCGCCAGCCCGCAAAACAAACAAACAAACAACCACCTCTGGTTTTAATCCTCGTGATTATGAAAAGTTATTGTACTCCGCACTAATACTTTTGAACTGAAGGGTGGTATAGAAAAGTTTTAAATAAATCAACAGATGCAAAAGGTGGATTTAAGAAATCTCTAGCTGTCATCCTACCCATTCTCAAATGACTTGTTGTGAGGCCAATCCAAATTCTGTGCTCACTTACCTGGGAGTCAAATCCCATGGAACCCAATGGGACTTACTTCTGAACAGACATGCAGAGGGCTGTATCATAAGATACTACAACCCTGGAAGACGAAAAGGATTCTGATGAAATCAGTAAATATGGTTTAACATTGAATGTTAAGATTTTCAGTTCTGATAGATTGTGTGCACAAATCCCTTTTTATGCTGTGTGTGAGGGAATGGACCTAGTAGTAAGAACCTTTTCAACATTACATTTCCCAACACAAACAGGCTATTACTATGATTTAAATGTGGAAATAGTTTAAGTAGGCTGTGTACTTTTTGATGTGTTTTATTTATTGTTTACGACTACTTTTATAATTATGTATTTTTTTCATGTCGTAAGACACCTTGAGCATGGTTTTAATGATGGAAAGGTGACATACAAATAAAAATGTGTAGTTCTATGCCATCCCTTGAGCTCTAAAGCTCACATTAAATATGGAGGAATCTTTGTGTGCACAGAAGTGCTCCTAACTTTAGGATTTTAAAATGGAGGACCCCCCCCCTTTGAATATCATTGGAATTGTCATATGCATCTATTAGACATTTTAGGGGGAAAACCACCACAAATTCTTTACTGAGATTTTAAACTAAAATAATGCATTATCACAATTATTTAGAAAAGGGAATGCTTCCTTTTAGACCATTTGATAATTATGACCTCCCACACTTCCCAGCATCCGGAAGCACATTATGTAGAGCTGAACAACAAGTGGCTGGTCATTTGTTTGGGTGATGAGGGTTTGTTCAGAGATCCAGTTCTGGGACCTCTATTCATTACACCCATTGGAAAGTTGAGTGCATGCAGAAGTTTGTCCCATTTACTTGCATCTGATCACTGGTTCGGAAAGATAAAGTTGCAATATGCATTAACATTCAAACTTGTGTATAGCTTAAAGGTAAAGGTAAAGGTACCCCTGCCCGTACGGGCCAGTCTTGACAGACTCTGGGGTTGTGCGCCCATCTCACTCTAGAGGCCGGGGGCCAGTGCTGTCCGAAGACACTTCCGGGTCACGTGGCCAGCGTGACAAAGCTGCATCTGGCGAGCCAGCGCAGCACACGGAACACCGTTTACCTTCCCGCTGGTAAGCGGTCCCTATTTATCTACTTGCAGCCGGGGGTGCTTTCGAACTGCTAGGTTGGCAGGCGCTGGGACTGAGCAACGGGAGCGCACCCCGCCGCGGGGATTCGAACCGCCGACCTTTCGATCGGCAAGCCCTAGGCGCTGAGGCTTTTACCCACAGCGCCACCCGCGTCCCCCGTGTATAGCTTAATAGTGAGTAAATGTAGTTATATTTACCAAGCTGAGCCCACGTGATTTGCTTGTACAAAAACAAACTCCTAAATCTCTGAATGATATGATGAGGAGATAACTATGGATGTACATTTAGAAGTTAACAGCACAAGCAAACAGCAATGAAAGTCAATGTAAGTGTTGCAAGCAACTTCCATCAGATTAAGAGCTACAGCCGTTGGTTCTTGTCCAACTATGCATGAGAAGAGCAGTGGATGAAATGCTCCATTATCTTGCTGTCAACACTAGCCAAGTCACCTGTTTGGGATGATACCATGTCCTCTATTCCTGCCTGGTTTTAATATTCCCACTTGGTGTTGACTTGCTGGGTGATCTTGGGCCAGTCTCTCTGAATCAGCCTAACCTACCTCACAGGACTGATGTGAGAATAAAATGGGTTTGGGGAGAATCCTGTAAGCCACTTCTTGGGGACGGTGGGATAAAAATATCACATGCACCTGAACATTTAACTGTCACCCAGATAAGTCTTTTTTTGCTTAAGGAATGTACCCAGAACATCTGTTTCCATAAGTTTTCTCATGTAGCCAGGGATGCATGTACAAAAGCTTGCTTCTGTGTCCCTAGGCCCTGTCTGGATCATACATTAGCCTATCTTAAGCATACCATGAAATAAGGGCATTGGAATCAATAGTACTTAAATCCAAGTAAACATGTTTTAGATAGGGCGATAAGTCTGCATAATGAAAAGTTTGATACATCGCCTTAAGAAATCTTTGCACTTTTATAAATTGGTGAGCGGCTGGTGGTGGTGGAATCACCTCTGTAGCTAAAGATAACCATTTCTATCGAACTCATAACTTAAAATGAAATTAATGAATTCGCCTGTACTTTCCAAATATCATGGGGGAATTACACTTTTGCCATTTTACTATAGTGTGTTGTGACTGCTATAGACAGACAATGAAAAATAACCCTTATGCACACTGTTATATTTCCAAAAATATATTTACAGTCTATTACAAAGATTACAAATGGAAGTGTCTATGTAATGAGATTATGTTAATTCAAAGATTGGTTGTTTGTTTCTCTCATTTTTTTACAGATTTCTTTAACAAAGGGGAAATAAGAAAAAAAATAGTATAATCAAAGTGATTTTTTTTCTAACCAAACAAATAAATAAAATGACAAATATAACACTGTACAGTGAACTAAAAGTGGAAGATTAGGGCGGGGGGAGGGGTAAATGATCTATTTAAGTTTTCTGTAGCTATCTTTGGTCCTAAATGTGGGAAAACACATTATGTAGCACTGAAAAACATTTTCTTTTTTTGTGATGCTCTGTAAGTAAAATAGAAAAATATAGTGCATTTTCAATGTATTCAGAGCTCACCGCACAGAAATGTGTGTACAAAACAAGACGGTATAAATAAAATGTACAAGTTTTACAAAGGAACATTTACAGGGTTATACTTTTTTGTGTGGATGCCCACATTATCAAACAAGACTTAATTTATGACTGATCCCTGGGATCTTTCTCTATGAAAACCAATGGGAGCAGCCCAGTTCTCTTTGGAAGTACAGCTATTCACTGCTGGGGTAGCTCGTGATTTTCATGATATTTTTTTGACAGCATTTTATCACCTGTTTTGTATATATTCCTGCAACGCACTGTTATTGCTTATGGTAGTTCTACATTTCATTCAACTCAAGTACGCATATATTAAATTAAAACTGGGTTTTTTTTCCTAAAAAAAGAGAGTTCTCTCATTCAACAGCTACTTTTCAGTCAGAAGTCTCAAATGACTGTTTTTGTGTATGTATAGAGCAGCTTGTAAAAAACAAAACAAAAAAAAACTTGAAAATTTTCGAACTGCCACTTGCCTTACACTCAGCGGTTCTAATAGAAAATCCAAAGGCACCATCTGATAGGAACATCTCCTGTGCAAGCCTCACAGCTGCTGTTCACCTCTCATTCACTTGTATTAGGGCTTACACTGGAGGAGTGCAATCCAGAGAAAGTTAGTGGCACTTGGGCCCCATTGAAATTGCTGGGACTCCATACAGAATGTGGTAACATCTTTTTGAGACTATGTCCCAATTGAAACCAGTAAAAATTAGTCTCAATTAAATGCTGAGTTCAGTGGGATGTAGTTATGCCTTCTGTTCTCTGGATTGCACCCCCAGATGTTTATTTTTGCAGGAGGGACTACATTCAACTTAATCTCATATTAACCATATGCCAGTTATTTTTCCTAGACCTTCTAATGTGGAATATTGAAAAATTAAAGAAACAACAGCAATAGACACCAATGTGCTCTGATTAAAAGGCTAGGCAACACTACAGTACTGTACCTGTTTTGTTCTGTTTTTGTTTTGACACACCTACTACAATCAATTATTCAGCAAAAGAGGTCTTAACAAGTTTAAAGTTGCAGATGTACAGCTTATATTTAACCCAGGCAACTTCCTAAAGTCATCTTTCAAGCCTTTTCTTTTAAAGTGCCTGGGCATTTTAAGGGAACATTATTGCTAGGTTCTCCGTTTTATTCATTTCCTGTTTAAAGAGACCATGTGATTTATCATACAAAATTATTTTCAAAAATATCAGAACTCTTGGCAATGTCTTTTTTTTCCCTTCCTGATTTCCTGCCAATTAGCAAACCACATAAATGTGGTGCGGAATTAACAGACCGAAGTAAACTTCATAAAGCAAACCCTACCCCGCAACTCCCATTTCACCCAACCCAGCGGTCAGATCCACATTTCTCAGTTACACCTCTTGTGTCTGTAGAAATTCATACAATCTTTCAAAAGTCCCCAGTGTAATAATGCGTCATATGCTTAGCACTAAGAAGGTCCAAAGATATAAATGTTACATTAAAAGAAGGTCTATATGACAAAGCAACACAACTGATTCCTTTTTTTCTCTTTTTTGGGGGAAAAAGTTTGAAATGAAAGGTTTAAGGAAAATATTTTGTTGACTTTAGCAATAATATGATTTTTATCTGACAAATATATTCTTTCTTTTTCAAAATCCCTTATGTACAATTTAAAAAGTCCATTAGATAAAAAGGAGGTTAGAGAGTTCAAGGTGTTCGTAGGTGTTTCAGGTAGTACTTTGTTTATTGTCACTGCTTTCGTTGCTGCCATCAGTGGATCCATATTCCCTTTTTAAGTAAGTTTCTGGTGGCACTTAGGAGTTCAAGTCTGTAGGTGCTTCTTGTGGGCCTTCTGTGGTCTGCAGGAAGGACCCAGAAAATCATGTGTCTTCTAGCAGCACTTCATGTAGATCGAAGGCCGGCACTGTTCTCTCAAGTCTGTCACCTCCCTCGTAAGGGAGAAGCGTTTATCACACTTGGATGCCAGTGCCATGCAAATGTAACATTTGTGCTCTCATAGTCTGAATGCTGCTCATGATTTTCTTTTGATGGCCAACCAACGTGATGCCTAAGCTCATAATATCGCTGGTGAAAAGGGAAGAGAAAGGTTCAAGGTTAGGCATTTGACTGTCAGTGTATGAGGACAAAAAAGAAACATTAGCACAATTCACAGAACTGAATGATATTTTGTACATCCGGGATGTTAGTATGCCTAGGCCTGATTTTCTGGTGGTTGTTTTATGGTTTATATTGGTTTATTTTATGAATTTATATACCACTTCATCATAGAGTATCTAAGCAGTGAGCCATCTCCAATTCTCATACAAATATATAAAATCAATAGAAAATTGTTTGGGATGATGGAAGTTGTAGTCCAGCAATATCTGGAGGACCTCAGTTGGTAGAGCAAGAGACTCTTAACCTCAGGGTTGTGGGTTTGAGCCCCACATTGGGCAGAGAGATTCCTGCATTGCAGGGATTGAACTAGATGACCTTTGTGGTCCCCACCAAAGCATTTTCCATTCCTGCCTTATAGACTTTACAATTCTGTGATTCCTATTATTCAGAGTCAGCTAGAGAAACCTATGAGCACAAAAACTCTTTAAATTTTGCAAATTCCCCTCCTCTTTATTACAAGAGGTGATTGGGAGTCACAACGCACTACAATTATCAGAATTTCTGGATTGCCCTAGATCAGAAGTAAACATGATGGGCTGCAGGTGTTGCTGGACTCCAACTCCCATCACCCCAGCCAGCATGGCCAATGGTCAGGGGTGATGGGAGCTGGTGTACAACAACAATTGGAGCACACCATGTTGGCTACCCTGGCCCTACACTGTCTATGTAATTGTCAAAGCAGTTCTAGGATTCAGACGACCTTAAAATCTGGTTACTTCTCTGGGACTAAAGAGTGAGTGGTGGACATGTCTGGAGATCCCAATGTTTTTATGCAAGTTGGCTCTGCTACAATATGTTTTTAGGGTTCTTATTGGCTCCTCTTTTGTGCACCTACCTTTCCTTTATTTTTAAACCAGGTGTTTTAATAATTAGAGCAATTTGTGTGAACTGATAGTGGTGGTAGGGAAAGGACCTCTGGGGGGAAAATGCCTCTACTCCTCATTCCAGACTTGGTGAGGAAATGATGATAACTTGGGCCATGGTGAAAGCTATTGCGGTAACACCTTTTGAAAACATCAGCCATCATAATCACATGAAAATCAAATCACTTACTCAATAGTCATCCTGGCTACTGTCTCAAGGTTATTGTAACCTGCAGCTGAAAAGTTATCCTTATATCTTTCCATCTTGATGGCTTGCAACCATTCTCCTACAGAACAAAATGTAGTGAAATCAGGTGTATTCTGGTCCAGAAGAGGACTGATTGGCCTAGATCGGAAGGGAAACAGAAAGTTATTATATTTTAAGATAAATTACAACACTAGAGAGCATTTATATTGCCTGATAGGAGTAGGAACAAATCATATCCAATTGGGTTAAAAGGCACAGCAAGCACATAAGGCTTTGTCCACATTGTTCAGTTCCAACAACAATCCCCCTTCCTTTTCACTAGTTATCTACTAGGGTTACTGTCATACCTTGGTTGTCGAACGTAGTCCGTTCCAGAAGACCGTTCAACTTCCAAAACATTTGACAACCGAGGCATGGCTTCCGATTGGCTGCAAGAGCTTCTTGCACTCAAGCGGAAGCTGCGTTGGATGTTCAGGTTTTCAGCATTTGGGAGCCAAAACGTACGATAACAGAGGCGTTTGGGAACTGAGGTTTGACTGTATTATTGTTTCTTATTTGAATTAGTGTGCTATGTCTTATACACACAATGGAGATTTGACTATATAAAAATTCACACAAGAGGAAAGCCTCGCTCCAAACATTTTGTGATCAAATGAAGATTGGTCAAAGGGAAGAAAAGACAGAGAAATGTGGCAACTATGATCGGACTTCTGGCACTGGGTCTAGCTAAATAGCTTCTCTGAAGGCTGGCTTTGTTTCTTGTTGAGGTTCTTTAAAATGCGATGTCTGGGAAAAGAGACACGAAGGAGGTGGTTTTCTTTTATCCCTGTGATATCAACTCATTTTGGCTGTACAACCTGTGCTGATTCTGATAGCCTTTTTGCATGACCCAAATTGTTATAGGTAAAATTGTAGTCCCTGTGTAGCTTGTGCCCACCTGACACCCAGAAAACCTTCCTTCTAGAATGCACACTTATGTGGGAGTAAGCCTCACTGAGCACAGAGAGACTTCCTTCCAAATACACAAACGTGCAATGCAATTTTAAATAATCATAAAAATCAAATGAATCAGAGATTAATTATAATAATTATATAATAATATTATATAATTAATAATTAATTTATTTATACCCCGCCCATCTGGCTGGGTTTCCCCAGCCACTCTGGGCGGCTTCCAACTGAATATTAAAAACAGTACAGCATCAAACATTAAAAACTTCCCTAAAGAGGGCTGCCTTCAGATGACTTTTAAAAGTAAAATAGTTGTTTATTGCTTTGACATCTGCTGGGAGGGCGTTCCACAGGGCAGGAGCCACTACCGAGAAGGCCCTCTGCCTGGTTCCCTTGTAACCTTACTTCTCGCAATGAGGGAACCGCCAGAAGGCCCTCGGCGCTGGATCTCAGTGTCCGGGCTGAACGATGGGGGTGGAGACGCTCCTTCAGGTATACTGGATCGAGGCCGTTTAGCACCAACACTTTGAATTGTGCTCGGAAACGTACTGGGAGCCAATGCAGATCTCTCAGAACTGGTGTTATGTGGTCCCAGCGGCCACTCCCAGTCACCAGTCTAGCGGCCGCATTCTGGATTAATTGCAGTTTCCGGGTCACCTTCAAAGGTAGCCCCACGTAGAGCGCGTTGCAGTAGTCCAAGCGGGAGATAACTAGAGCATGCACCACTCTGGCAAGACAGTCCACGGGCAGGTAGGGTCTTAGCCTGCGTACCAGGTGGAGCTGGTAAACAGCTGCCCTGGACACAGAATTAACCTGTGCCTCCATGGACAGCTGTGAGTCCAAAATGACTCCCAGGCTGCGCACCTGGTCCTTCAGGGGCACAGTTACCCCATTCAGGACCAGGGAATCCCCCACACCTGCCCGCCCCCTGTCCCCCAAAAACAGTACTTCTGTCTTGTCAGGATTCAGCCTCAATCTGTTAGCCGCCATCCATCCTCCAACAGCCTCCAGGCACTCACACAGGACCTTCACCGCCTTCACTGGTTCTGATTTAAAGGAGAGGTAGAGCTGGGTGTCATCTGCATACTGATGAACACCCAGCCCAAACCCCCTGATGATCTCTCCCAGCGGCTTCATATAGATATTAAAAAGCATGGGGGAGAGGACGGAACCCTGAGGCTTTTTATAAATAAAAAGAGATATGAAGATAAATAGGTCAAACCAAAGAACAACTCCATTTACTTCAGTAGAAATATGCTGGAATTTTGAAGATTATACATTGTGGTTTTAAGTGGGTGTTTCTGGATTTGACAAAAATTAACATGGAGTAACATATAGCCAATACAGCATCTAGTGCTTGTGTGTAGTGTATGTACATACACACCCACACACAATATTTTAGAAATATTGTTAAGTATCTCTTAATTTTTTTGTTGAATTTTTGGCCTTGGATCATTTGGTGAAGAATGGGCTCTAAATACAGTAAATGAATAAATACATTTCATATGGCTGAGTCTAGGCCTTTGTAGCTGCTGCATATTTCTATCAACAGAGCAACAATAAAACCGTAAAGAGCAGCAGTTAAAACTTCATGTTTTTGTAAATTATTTTACAGCAATTTTGTTGGAAGCTGCTTTGTGCTAAAACCTTTTTAGTAAACAATCTGTAGCAAATCAGGGAAATTCAAATCATACAGTGGCCTTTCTGCTTCTATCAAAACATGGAAGCTGTTCAGGTTCCTCTGTTCAGTTCCTGCTAGTTTTATGACAAGCAACACACAGCACAGTCTAGAGTATCTGCTGGTTTACCTTTGTAAAGGCAGCCTGAACAGGGGATGTTTCTGTACACCCTGCAGCGGATAACAGCAGCTGAACTGAATGAAGAAATACAGCCTAAAAATCTGGCCTACGACTTAGAAACAGCACCAGTAACTTACCTGCTACAGGTTCCCAGAGGGGTTTTCAAGCTGTTTGGGTTCCGAATCATCTTGTCCAGAATGCCCACTATTTGCTCAAACTTTGGCCTTTCCGCACGCTCTTTCTGCCAGCAATCAAGCATCAGCTGGTGAAGGCCTGCTGGGCAGTCCATGGGTGCTGGCAAGCGATAGCCTTCTTCAATTGCTTTTATAACCTAAAAGACAAAACAACGTTGTTTTGAATTTTTTACGGCCCATGAAGAATCAAGCAGCCAAATTAAGCAATCAAAGCTTTATGAAATGTATCTTTCAAACAGAGCCTGTTGTTTTGACACATGCATTCATGTTGCTGTATAATAAACTTGTTTTTATTTTCCATGCTTATTAAACAGATTATTCTGTGGTGTGTGCTGAGAACATGGTTGCATTACCTAGTCAAATCAGCAGCAGGAAACAGCAATTAAATTCACCAAGGGTGCAGCTGATAAATTGATACATGGAGATGCTCTTTGAAGGCAACAGCATTTGCCCAAAAGCTCCCCCCCCCTTCATTTCCCCTCCAAGAATACACACAGCATTTAAATGAACAGAGGTTTAGGCATCGGTGCATGCTATGCAAGAAAAGTATCTGGAAATCACTATACATAAAAGGTACTTTCTAAAAAAAGCCCTTTCCCTTAATACTCACCCTTACAGTGGGCACAACTGGATCTGAATGCAATGTGACATGTATAAGCATAGCTTGGCTGGGTAATATCTTAATGAATCAGGAGAAGGAAAGTCCATTATTAATAAGAAAATGTGGCATGTTGTGATATGGTGCAGGGCAGTTAATGTGTGTAGGAAGAGTTACACCCATTGCTTGATTTTCTAGCAAAACTCATTTGAGGTTTAAGTAAAAGAGGGAGGGGGAAATAATTATAGGAAACTGCTAAATGCCCCTAGGACAGGATAAGAAACCATGATGGGAAGCAATGAGCTGATTAAAAAAAAAAGTTACATAAAGCGTTAAAATATTGTTTCAGGGTGGGGTGGGTATTTCAAATACCGACAGACATAACTGTGTTAGAATTGCTAAGGAAGAGTGCTTGTTCCTCAGGAGTAAGTAGCACAGGCTCTCTCCCTTGCAGCAGTCCACAGAGAAAGCCAACCTTGGGGCTTTCTTCCGGGGTTAACCCTAGGATATAAAGCTGTCATGATAAATAAAAGCTGGTGAGAATTCAAAGCTTTTGTTCAATATATATTATATATGCATGTCGGAATGTGAATTGAAGGAGGATTTTAAAGAATGAAAAGTAGACTCCAAGAATTTTCAAAATCTCCCAGTGCACTGCAGAAAAGTATAACAACGTGTAATGCCATATACACAGGCATCAATGACATATATATGAACAGAGGAAGCCACAATCCTATTGGATGCAGGCTGCAAATATTGTAAACGTTTGAAAACACAGGGTGATTGTCACTTAGCGCTCCTATCACTTTTGTGCCAAAGGAAGCATCCACTCACATAAGAGGGGGAAAGAAATTGTGTTTGTGTGATTCTCCCTCGGCTGCAGACACCAGCACCTCCCCACCTGCAAAAAATTTTTTTAATAGATTGTGGGATCCTCTAGATCTAGAAGAGATTTTTTTGGAAGCTGTGGTAGCTGCCAGGGAGAGAAGAAAATAGTCAATATCACCTTCCCTCTTCTGAGTGGAAACCTACAGCTGAATCCAGAGCTCTCATACACTTGCAAAGTTGGAGGGTACTCCACATTCAAACTGAAAGGTCACAAACCACTTTTGTGGTTGCAGCTTTACTTCAAATAATATCCTTAATGTTATCTAACGTGTTCATTCTCATGCCACAGACATTTCAATGGCTGTAATTTTGTGTTTTCTGATTCTATGACTCTTATTATGCATGGTAATGGGTGAGTGTGGATAAAACACACAGAGATTCCTGGAGCTCTGATGTTTAGCTTGGGCTAAACATCAAATTTTTAAAATTTGAAATTTTCAAATCTGAAATTTGCAGAGGTCAGAACTGTGTACGGTATACATGTGGAAAGTCAGTCTCTCTCTCTCTCTCTCTCTCTCTCTCTGTGTGTGTGTAATTATACAAAATGGTGATGTAGTAATTATGCTCTTCGAACTAAAAATGTGTTTATGATGAAAATTCAACTCAGACACTTATTAATAAAATGTGAGTACTCCGCAGAATTTCCAAAGGAATTAGAGATGAGAGAAATACAAATACGACATGCCTTGCCAATCTCTCACAGTAATTGGAACACAATTATTTGACTGATTGCCAACAATTGATCTAGAAATCCAAAACATGACCATGGCAGAACATATCACCTAGACAGCAAAAGCGAAGCAATGAAAGAAGAAAGTGCAACAAAATATGCATTAGCAGGCATGATGGCAAATATATTTTCTTGATTGTAGAAAATTCCATGGTGATGAGAAATGACTAACAGCAAAGGTTAATGGTTCACCTTTTTAAAAAGAAAAAAGAAAAAGCTTATACTTCTTTTACACATGAACGCTGAACAAATAAAACCAGAAATTCAAATAGTTTTTGTTTAGGACCATTTTGAATGAGAGAAATAAGGTAAGTGATTCTAAGATTTAAAGTCAAAGCATAATGATGGGGACCGATAAGATGCACTAAACCCACCACCACAACAAATGGTATGAGCTCAATTTTTCACATTATTTGGCTTAGTTCCAGCACATACTCTATTTTAAGTAGTGAATATATATTTAAACGAATTTATAGCCATGTAAACTGGATAAGAACACTAGCTATTTCAGTAAGGAAATAGGTTCCAACCCATCTTTGTCTTGCCATACGAAACCAGATTAAATAAATTAGTCCCTCTCATCTGACTTACTCCACTTTACATACTGTACTGGTGAGCACAAATGACACAAAATGCAGTTAACATGATTGTGTGAAACCTGATTGTAAAAGTGTAGCTTTAGTCTAAATTAATGAGAATACTACATACTTTATTTAGGTACCACTTGCCTCGCCTGCTCTGGAGTGTGGGACGTGAACCAATGGCTTCAAGTTACAAGGAAGGAGATTCTGACTAAACATCAGGAAGAACTTTCTCATGGTAAGATCTGCTTGACAGTGGAACTCCTTCCTTGGGGGTTTTTAAACAGAGGTTGGATGGCCATCTGTCATGGATGCTTTAGCTGAGAGTCCTGCATTGCAGGGGGTTGGACTAAATGATTCTTGGGGTCCACAATTCTATTATTCTATGTCACAACTATCCCTTGTGCTTGTTTTTCATTTCTTTTCTGATTTGCTTAGTTTGTAGAGCAGTAGTACAACACATCCTCATCCCATCCCAATATACCAGGCTTAAAATTTTTAAGCTGCATTCTTGAATGCACTTGCCTGGAAGTAAGCCCTACTGAAGTGAATGGGACTTACTTCTAAATAAACATGTGAAAGATTGCACTGAAAACCTCATTTCAGCTGAGCAGGAAATAAATTAAATGCTAACTAGAATAAAACTGGTACGTTGTTCTCACTGTCAGACAATTTGCTCTGTTTACCTATTTACAAATTGAGCCCATACATTAAGCCCAATGCAAAATTTCAGCAGTATGAAAATACTGATTTTGTCTGTTGCTTTCCCTTCTCCTAACAGTTCTTTCCTTATGTCTTTTTTGAAAGATAGGTAAGCTTTGCCTTTGAGGCATCTTATATTCCTGTCAGACACCTTTTATGTTTGAATCTAGTACAGAAGGAAGGTGTCAAAAGGAATGAAACTCGACTGGGTGTCGAGGGAATGTAAATATTTCTCTCTCCCTGCCCCAAGGACTTGTTTGCCCATATTTTGACAGTCCATGAAATCTCTGACACTGAGACCTGTCAAATATTAACAACTTTGCTCTCTGCCAAACTGACTCATCATTTAGATTTTATATGGTAGATTAGAAAAAAAAAATGCACCAAAAAAGTACTCTCTGATGTCGATCATTCTTAAAAAAACAACAACAGGGAAATAACATTTTTTTCCTCATCATTTATTTACAAACACACTTATTTCTATGACAAAATGAAACTTCCCTTGGTATCTGCAGTTTGATTCCCATATTTTATAAAATGGCAATAAACTTGAAACCAGAATAGCTAATAGTACTATACTAAGGGAAAGAGCACACATTGCATCAAATATTGGCCTCCCTGCATTGAGAAATTCTCCCTAGTCCTTTGTTTTTCACAGCAGTAGGCCATTTGGTGGGGCTGCACTGCTCCTTTGACTTCTGTTCAGCTGAGTCACTGCAGCATACTGGGATGGAGAGGAAGAGGGAGGCAGCAGTGGCGAGGTTGGCATGGTGGAAATGCCCTGGGAAGAGCACCATATTGGCATCACCAGCACATTTGTACTGTGCCAACCCTACCTTGGCACAAGCATTCTACTTGTCCCCCTCTCCTTCCCCTGCCTGCTGTTTCAGGGGACGGGGCAGTGTCTCTCTACCCTGCAGAGCAGATTTAGAGATTTAGGATGATGCTAAAGCAGCCCTAACTTCACCGCCATCTCTTTGGATGTGGAGATGCCAGCACTGGTGAAGACAAACTTCAGAGAGCCAGCCCACACAGAGGAATATGCCCATATGTCTGTCCAGTCTTGGGACATACGAACAGCTGTGCTTGCTGTATTCTCTTCAAAGGGAGGTGTCTTGCTTGTTGAATCAATGTCAAAGCTTGTGGTCAGCCATGCATTTAACCTCTCATGTACCTGAGGATTTTGGCAAGAGTTCCATCTTGTCTCTCATACCTTTTTAACATTTATATGAAGGCACTGGGTGAAGTCATCCAGAGAATAAGGAGAAGTTCTTTAGATGTTGGACCAGTACTGGGGGTGTTGAGCTGTATAAGGGCTTATAAACTGAGACTCAATTCCTACTAGCTGGAGGCAGGAATAGTGGGCAGCACCAGGGTCTAGGAGCCAGGGAGATGGCCTGTTCCAAATGGAGTTGCATTCCTGCCAAACAGCTTGGGGATGTTCCCGGAGGTAGCATTGTCACTAGAAGCTCAGATGACAATTGTAAGTAAGTTCGTAACTTAGGCCGAACTGTACCGTCCATTGAATTGATGAAATATTTTGTGTCCAAATAAAGAACTAATTTAGATATAGCTCTGTTCCACATCCACGGACCTTTGTGCTCAAAATTAAAGCTTGGTAAAGCCAAGTCCCCTCCCCGCTTGCTTGTGAAAATGGCTACCCTGTTCAAGGAATAATCCTCTTCAAAAGGGTTAGTCACAGGGAACTTCCGCACACAAGAATCTGCTCTAAAATGCTCTTGTAAGGGCTAGATTGGGTGCCATGTAAACAAGCCCTCAATCTGCACCTGTGTAAACAAGCCTGAGGCCAAGATCCTACCTAGAAGGAGGATGCATATACTGTTATGAAAAGGGTTTGTTTTCTCATTGTAGGATTATATTATTTTCACTGAAGACAACATGGAATAAAGGTTCAGTTGTAAAATGCTGAGAAGAAATCAGCTATTATGGATGAATAGCTATTCATTACTCCCTCTAAGTTTTAGAAGAGAATGATTAATGGACTAGTGTTTCGGGGGTTTTGTAATGGTGTTGTTGAAACTTACAGAATTTGTGGGCTTTAACAAAAACCCCAAAACTGTCTAGGATCCAAAGTGCCCTTGCATGTCCTTGCCAACTTGCCTTCAGAGGTCTCCAAACACCAAGAGTGACTTTTTAAGATGTCTAAAGGCAACAATGGCTGGAAAAGCCTGAACATCATAACTGACCCTTTTGGCTCAGTCCTCTACACACTTACCTGTGAACTCAATGGGTCTTACTGCTGAGTAGACATGTGCAGGATTGTGCTATTTGCCTACTAGGTTATGTAGTCTCTTTCTGTGTATGCTGCTTGCTATGCCCTATTAATGAACTATAAAATAATGAAACAGCTAGACCAGTATTTATGATAAAGTAATAGAGATGTAGCTAAAAAAGATAATTAAAACAATATGTGGAATTCAGCATCACATTAATGCAATTGTTCGGTCAGCGCAAGCATTTCTATTTGCCAGACGGAACAATCGCTCCCTTCCTCACACACACTCCGGAGTGGATTTGGGGGAGGAAGTGGTCAAACTCCAGTGCACTAGTGGGAGCCCTTGAGCTGGCTTCCCACTAGCTGGCTAGTGCTAATAAATTTATACCTTTCCAAAATAAATTTCTATTTCCCTTTTATAATATAAATATTAATTGTTCTTCAAGTCTTTGGGTGTGTTGCTAGAGAGAAAACCCTAATCCATATATCATTTGCAAGTTCTATTATCCAGTGCTGTGCATTATAAGAAACAGAACATGCATTTTTGGAACTTACATCTTGATTTGACATATCCCAGTATGGCCTCTCTCCGTAAGACATGACTTCCCACATTACTATTCCATAACTCCATACGTCACTTGCTGATGTAAACTTGCGATACTGTATGGCCTCAGGAGCTGTCCATCTTACTGGTATTTTCCCACCCTACGGAAAAAGAAAGTTTCTGAAACAAACTTACAGTAACACCATCCATACATGAAAGCATTAGCTGACAGGCAGCTTGTTAGATCTTCTTGCAAGCATAAAAGAAAATTAAAACTAAGGAAGTAAATTATGCCTGTGACTCTTTAAATCTTGCATCATCTCACAGATTATAGCCATTCCTCCCTCCTACAGAGTCAACCTATACCTATACGGAGCAGCTACTACTGGGCTGCATCAGTTCAGATCATTGCAAGGATCATAGGGTTAAATATAACTAGATCTAAATGTTTCTTATACATGGAAAACTAGAATATCAGGAAGAAACTTTTTCTTATTCTTGACATCTTCCCAATACACTGGTTTGTAATGTACAGCGTACCTCCACAATTAAATATGTACTTTCTCCTTCTTAACATGTTGGTTTTACATCCCTGAGGGTGGGGTGTGTGTGACAAATTCCCTCCTGGGCGGATTGCTGCACCGCTCCCCTGGATACCAATTGCCCCCAATGGGCGCCGATCGCTCCCCCTGGGTGGCTCCCCGGGTGCCTGAGCGGCTAGGTCCACCGCTGCATGTTATAACATGTTTACTTGATTAGTTAAACCCATTGGTGAGAAGCCTCTGGCCCATGGACTAAATGTGGCCTGTAGGGCCTCTCCATCCAACACACAGCCTCCTCTCTTCACCCTGCCCCATAGCATTTAGGCTTTTAAAAAGCTTGCATTTCTGCCAGGAAGGGAGGGGTGGTTAGGTGCTAGGAGTAACCCTCCCTCTGTGCTGCAATACCTGCAGCAATTATACTTAAATACAAAACACTTTCACTGGTACGAATGCAAGCTTTTAAAAGCAGAAATGTTATGCAGCATGGAATCTTTTTTTTTGGGGGGGGGAGGTTTGCATCTGTGGAGGGAAGCCTAACTCCCACCTCCCCATGAGCTGCAACCCACGTGAAAGTCACCCCAAAGCAGCACTTAGGCTTTCATTTGTGCCAATAGGAGCATGTTTTAAACTCTTAAGTGCTGCATGAGGAAGGGCAGGGGGAATCAGAAGCAGGACAGAAGAGACGGTTTAGTGGATGGGTGGAGGATGTGAATGCTTTGGCCTTGTCCTCTGTTATTACTGACAGCTGGCCACTGGAAATTTTTTCATGAGGGAATGTAGCCCTCAGGCTTGGGCTGAAAAAGCTTTCCCACCCCTCGCATTAACAGTTGACTCTGCCCTTGTTCCTAACAGGTATATTTTGGTCTGTCTTGGTAATCAGCGTTGGTGTGAGCGGTGGCAGAATAGTCTCTCAACTGCAACCTGTTATCCATAGCTGCCACCTATATTCCATGCTGCCACTTTTCAGCACTAGTCTCACATGTGAAAGAGAACTTTCGATGCGTGTGGATTGGAAAATGTATACTGCTAGAACAGGTGTGTATCAAAGGAGGGCGGCCACCTGCTGAACTCAAGAGAAAGCTATTTTTCAAGGAGTTTGAGATTAATAGGATTCTTAATCTTTTGAAATTAGTGAGGTGGGATTCACATTTTATTTTAGTTGCGCCATCTTTACCACGTGCTCCTGGCTTGCCCCCTCAATCCCAGTCTCTGCCCCCCATTTCTACTGAGTCTTGCATGGAGTTCTATTGCATTATTACTCTTAATATTAACTCTCACAGTTAAATGATTGGCTGGCAATTCCTTTGTTAAGAGACCCTGCTTGTTACTAGCCCAGGATACTGGAGTGATGATGTTTCATCAATGGGAGCTAATGTCTGGCAGATAGAGACTTTTATACTGAGAAGCAATCAGAACTTGGAGAAGTCAGACACCTACTTCTCTAAATAAGTTTGTGTGTTTGTGTGAGAGAAACAAAAACAGGAGGTAGGGAGGAAGAACAGAGAATTGGATAAGGGCACCCCTGAAGATCTGATGTGGGATAGTGGTGCTACCGTCTTGTAAGAATGTGCATGCCACCTGCCTCCACCTGTGCTCTACGTATGTATTTGGAAATAAGACAAATAATGCAAAAATGCCACAGGTCACCAGTGTTTTTTCATCTAAAGGTCACTTGACTTGTGGAGCACAGCCCTTAGAAATTCTCACCACTCCTGGGAGTGGGGAATGGGCAACAATATACTTGAGCGAACTGTGCTCTTTTTTGTTTAATGTGCAACTCACTGTTGTAGTGTAGACAGCTTCTGGGTCATCTTCTATAACTCTGGAGAGGCCAAAGTCTGACACTTTGCAAACAAGATTGCTGTTGACCAGAATGTTGCGTGCTGCTAAGTCCCTGTGCACGTATCCCATATCAGCCAAGTATCTCATTCCAGCGGCAATTCCTCTCAACATCCCCACCAGCTGAATTACTGTAAATTGCCCATCATGTTTCTGAAGTAAAAGAAAGAAGCAGAGAAATGCGTCTTAGAGCAGCTGAGAGGGAAGGATAAAAACATTGTTAAAATCCTGGTGCTTTAAGGCCAGGCCTCCCACAGCCCCGTGTCTGCAAATTCCACATGTAATATGTCATTAGTGCCTCCATCTCAAGCATGACTTGCCTCTCACAGCCCACATGTAAGACATGAAGTGTCGCTCTGGGCTTCACATGTGCAGTCCATCAACCCCCACCCCCCACCCTAGCAGCAGATCAATCGTAAGAGAAACATTGGTATATGAATATATATGTGTAAATCCTGATTTTCATTAAACCTTTTCCGAAGGGTAGAGAGGAATGGGTTACTCCATGACAACTATGAATATACTGGTCGTTAGCTTTATGTAAAAATGTATTTTGAGGGCAAGAGTATATATTACATGACATTTATGTTGGCATCCATGCTCCTAAAGTGTGAACTACATAATAGGAAAGTAGCTGTTGCGAGTATGGGAAGAAACATTATGATACCAAACATGGGCGTAGCCAGGATTTTTGTTAGGGGTGGCAGAACTGATGTGATTGGTCAGTTAGTTAAGTATTTCTATTGTTTTACTCACTCTAGGGGAGGGCAGCTGCCCCCCTGCCTATGCCCATGATTACCAATATTATACTTTGGGATCTATGCAGCAGATTTAGCTTACAGATGCTAACAGTTATATGTACTTTCCTTTTTGGACTTTGTAGTGTTTAGCAAGTTGTCTACCATAAATGGTAAACAGTCACAAAAAGTTGTAAAATCTCTCTTAGGACTGGGGGGAGGGAATGCTTCCTTCATTTCTGAATCACTGCTGCACTTAATTTAAGGACTCTTTCTTTTCCACAATGTTGAAAAGATACAAATATGATTTTGAAGCATGTGTTCCCACAATATGGCTTCAGGTCCCTTTCGATGATGGTAATCAAAACCACAATATCTGTCCCACATTGGATCACTTAGATGGCCAAAAATGTTTTCGTTTGATCCCGTCTGGTCTTCTAATTTCTAATCTGATTTTTCAGAGACCATTCAGAGATCTCTTAATGTTTGGCGTGTTCTCATTTTACACTGAAAATGTTTTATTATGCTAAATTGGTAGCATATATATTTTATTTTTGAAGTGCTATGTATGTTTCCCTCTAGCATTCACTCACCCTGAGAAATGCATCCAGAGCTCCATTCTCCATGTATTCTATTACAATCATGACTGGTTTCCCTAAAAAAGAAAGAAGAAAGGGGGGCACATTTTGTTTAAAGGAATCATAATCTGAGCAGAGTGGTTCCCTCCACTCCTGATAAAACATATGTTGTTCCTTTGAAGGGCTGAATAGTTGAGGCATGAGTGCTCCTGAAGCTTCCAAAACTGTTACTGAGATCTAAAAGGCCCTTAAATGTCTGTGTGCAGAATATGGTCATGATTCGCAAAAGTTAAACCGTACAAATCAAAATGTCAGTGCGTTCTCCTGACTCCCGCTGTGTGAAGAGAATTCTGGGGAAATGGCACTTCAGATAATACGAAAGGACATAAGAAACCTTATCTTCCTACATGGTATTTGAGGCTAAATGGGACTAGGAAAAATAAATATTCCAAAGTTCTTCATCTTTTCATCATCCACTGATCTTATTTCTCTTTCTCTCTAATGTTGTTGCATAAACTAAGCGTTCTCTTAGTTAGTTACACATCAGAAGAAAATCTGTTAATCTATGCAGCACATCTCTGTCTTTTGAATTGCTGACTATGAAAACTTTGTAACAATGTATTGCCTTTTAGTATGTTGTCTAAAGGTCAGATCTGGTAGTTAATTACCTCTGGTAACCACCCCTTCTAAATGAACAACGTTGGGGTGATCAAACTGTCCCATGATGCTCGCCTCACAAAGAAAATCCCTTCTTTGCTTTTCAGTGAAGCCTACTTTTAAGGTTTTAATGGCCACAGCAACATCTCTCTTGCCTGGAAGCTTTAGGCGCCCACTGCATACTTCTCCAAACTCTCCTGAAATGGAAAACATATCGTCTGTTAGGAAATCACTGATACAGGACCAGAATTACTTATGTCCAATGCATTTAGATGTCAACTGAACACTCCCACTTAATGTTATGCTAGATTTGAATCAAATCAACAAGGGCATAACCCAACCAAGGTTAAATGCCTCCAATCTACAGTAATTTCAATGGAAAATATTTAAGCACATGGTTGAAATCAAAGAAATATAAAAGAGCTTTGGCAAGATCAGGCCCTAAATGAGCAAATTTTAGCCTATTCTATAGCAACTTGAGGAAGCTATAAAAGCGGAGGACTATGATGGCACAGTCAGTAGTATAGTACAGACAATAGTATAGCACACAATGGTTGTGCACAACAGGAGTATCATAAACATGTTGGCAGGGAACAGAAGATTATAGTGCCCTCATCAAAATCAACCACTCACAGAACTGAGAACCTTTACTCCACAGTTGAGTGTACCACATTAGCAGAGAAACATGCTAAACTCTTTGATGCTGCCTGTTGTCTGTCACACTGATACTGCATATGTTTACTTGATATAAACCATGCATATATTTTTCTGCTTTATCGTCAGGCTGTTGCAACAGTCATTTTCCTCGCAGTCTTTGCTAAGTATGATCCATGAATTGAAATATAAATAAGGCAACTACACTTAACACTTCACCACTAAAATGACTGACATTTCATATTTGCATTTCAGTTTGTCAGTGGAGTTCTGAGTTTGTAGTCACAAAATCAATCAGAAAATTAATTTTCCTTTTAAAAAACCAAATTGAATCAGAATTCCACAAGAACAGGAAAGTAAGATTGTTGTTTTGTGCTGTCTCAAGCTTATTTAACCACAGACCCTTATCTATTATCTCAGTCAAGTTCTAAGCCACTGAGCGCTTGCTGTGAATTAAGGGTTTTATACAACTTTAGTCTACCAAGGTGCTATTGATTTTTATTGTCTACAGATGGGCAAGCTCACCCCTGCTTTGTGTTGCTGGACTGGCTCAGAAATGAGCCTTCTCTTAATTTGGGAAATGCCATGGTTAATTTCTGAAACTATCTAAACTTGCTAACTTTTTTTTCCCAGAGGCAGCCTTTGTATAAGGGGGCTGCTTTGACTTCTGTAAAATCACTGGAATGGATATGGAGAAACGGTGACCCAGTTTTCCTGGAAGCAGGCCTTCAATGCAGCTAACTTGGCAAAGTATCCTATGCCCTTTTAAAATGTGGTTCTTTTTTGGGGGGGTTGTTATTTTTATTTTGATTATATATAGTGTGGTTTTGATTTTGTTCTGTGAACCGCCCTGAGACCTCCGGGTATAGGTCAGTATATAAATTCAATCAATCAATCAATCAATCAATCAGTCAGTCAGTCAATAGGAACAGTTGTTTTGCCTGGAGGCTCCAACTCATGCGGGAAGGTTATCTGCATGGTGAAAATGAAGTTGTTGTGTCAAATCTGCTCCAAAATGTTATAATGATGCCTCTGCTGAATTTAAGAACTGGGACTTGAAGGTTATTACTCACCTCTGTGCCTGCAAATAAGTGCTTACAGTGAAAGCATGTGGTTATGCTGGCACCGAAAGCAGATATTCAAAAACAAGATTGGAGCATCCATTGAATTCCAGTGGGACAGACTGCTGCATGACTTAAGATAATATTCTGAATCAGGAGTGTACATGAATTTAGTTTTAGTTAATGTCGTCATTAACATCTTCTAAGGCTGCAGTCCTATACACACTGACATAGCATGCATAGGTTTCATCTGTTTTCACATTAAGTTAAGTGAGTCCGCCTCCCCTTTTAAAAAACAACAACAAAGAGCTATTATCTGTAATTTACAGCACTTGTCACACTGCTGCAGGAGTGATTTAAAGAGGGGGGAAAGAGGACTTAAAAGTACTGCATAAAACAACAGGAAATCAAAGAATGTTTCCTCCAGGAGTCCCAGGTATTTGATATTTTTCTTGCCCATGGATACTTAATTTCACTACATGAACCAGTATAATAATAAAAGTGTCACATATCTTATTAATGCAAACAAATGGAAACAGGTTTCCAGAGCATGAACACCACTGCCTAAGTATGTGGGAAAAGGAAGAAAAGCAATGTAATGACAGCACAATTACCATCACTCACAAGAGCTAAGATGAGGACTCCTTATAGCAATAAAATACTTTAAAAATGGCACCAATGACATTCCCCAAAGAAAAACTTGTTTTGTAAAGCCAGCTTTTAGTTATAACAAACACAAATGCCGTTCTTTATATAGACACACACAAGTAAGCCTCTCTTGGAGTTTAATGGAAATACTGATGCAAATATAGCCATCAGGTGTTTAACTCAAAGGCACCACCTTCTCTCAACAATGTGTGAGGAGGAATGACATTATTTACATTTGTAAAGCACAATTTTCATTTCATTTTCCTAAAAGGAAATAGAAATACACACACATGTTTTGGACCACTGGACTGGTTATTTATTTATTTTACATTTATAAGCAAATGCAGCTCCAGTGCTTTTAACCACTCTGGTATAGGCAAAAAGCTCCATGCGCAAGATATAATTATTTGCCTGTCATCATGATGTATGAGTTTCAATCCGAGCTAAATGGAAGAATTGTATAAGGAAGCCACAGCGAGCTTACCTGCACCGATCACACGCTCTATTTTAATACAGGAGGCATCTAACTCCTTGGCGAATTGATGGACAGCTCTATTTGGATCCTCGTAGGTTTCAGGGTCAATGTAGGTTTTGGTGCCTGGAAATTTAACTGCAATGATGTAAGAAAGCATGACTGTGATGAAGCAAAGCACTTATTGTGCAGCCAATCCCGGAATTTCATTAAGCAGAGCGCACCCTAGAACAGTGAGGCTCCTGTCGAGCCAGCTAGGTAAGGCAAATGGGTGTTTCTCAGGAAACACCTCCCCATTCCTTACTTTTGTGGCCAGCAAGCAACTTTGCAGGATAACCCATCTGAGATGGGGTGAAAGGTGAAAACCCAATTCTTTCTTCCCCAGTAGATTTGGCCCTGGAAGTTCTAGTTCCTGATCCTTACCTTACACTTACATTGTCTCGAGTGAATGGAGTGAATGTTTCTAACAAGTTCATTGTTTTGAGTATCTGTCCTTTATCCACATCCTGTGTTCTGAAAAATATACTGAGACCTCCACCCAACTGAATCTTCCTGAAGAGAGGTAAGTGGCTTGCTGGAGGGGCAGTGGGATACCTCTGTGCCTTCTCACAACCTATTTTCATGCTGCTGGTGTTGGCCTGCTTTTGGTAGGCTTGCCAAGCAAGAGGGGCCAACCTCCTTTTCCCCCTAACACAAAGTGGCATCACATTTTGACAGTCTTATCTGTCTCTGACATATAAATGATACACCTTCTTGGGCTCTCTCTTGTTTCATTTATCCACAAGATTCTGTCATATCTTCCCCAACTGTGAGTGTACTGGTGAGTAGGAAAATGTGCAGATCAGTATTGTAGAAAGTGAATGCAAAGTTTCCCCCACCCTTCAGAATTTCACACTGATCTTCCCGACCAAATTTTGGATAGCCATAAATTGCTGCTCTGAACTCCTTTGGGACAAAGGGTGATATATAAATTTAATTAGTAAATGAATAATATAGGGCAAGAGTTGTGTTTACATTGTTTCTTTGGGACACAGTTACATCTGTAGTTTGAGCACACTGGTTTGTTTGTTTGTGGTGGTGGTGGTGGTGGTAGGGAGTTTATGGGATGAAATACAAGAAGCAGAATGCTCTCTCCTAGACAGTACAATGGCCTAATCACCAAGATATGGGGTTGAGAAAAGAAGTTTTCAGGCACAGATTCCATCAATTTTGAGAAAGGTCCTAATGAAATAGTCATGGGCGACATATTCAGCAGGTATCACATGTTTCAAACTGCAGCAGCTATATTATTAAAAATAATGCCATGGGAAAAGAATGCTAGTGATGTGGAGGTCATCCACGGAGCTGAATAGGCATACTGAGGATCTGCAAGAAATTATTTCACATCTTCCCCAGAGGTTACTTTTGCTGCACTGTATTTTTCAATAGGTTTAGTGCTAATCATAATAATAATGGCTCAGCTTCTGGAGCTGATAAGGGCTCATTTTTTATTTACGTCCCCAACCAGAAGGGAAAGAGAGCAGAAAACAATAGGTTAACTGCCTATATTGTGCTCTCAAGCAAGCAGATGGAGAATGAGCCATCTTCTTGTGCTTGCGATAAGGAGCCTGGATTGGAGGTAACCTTGTGAATCGTAAATGGGTCTCTGATGGTACTTTATTCAAGCTGTCATAAAACATTTTGACAGGCCAACGCTTTCTTGGCATACCAACGTGAAATAGTGCTCCCTCAGATTCAAAGACATTGTTAAAAGAAAATGGTAGGAGGAAACAAAATGTAAATTGCAATTGGTTGACTAAACTCTTCCATTGTGTTATACCTTTAAAAACGTAGCACTTGGGATCATTCAAAGTTGAGGGGAATTGAATGGGAAGACTGGACATTCTATTAAATTCACTGATCTGAAAGCTAGTTAAAAGGATTGCTATTTCAGGTTACTCTGAAAATCCAGTCTGATGTTTTAGCATATAAGAAAATTGTCTGTATACCACAGGAACAAAAGGATGCAAAATTGGAAATCATCAGTGACTTCAAGACTGTGTTTTGTTTCTCCCCAGAAACAATGATCATGTCAAATTAAATACTATGCTTTTTATCAAAAGGCTCTAAAAATGTAGTCAAGTAAAGATAAAAATCATAAGACTTTCGGGTTGGCTTCATGGTTGGTAATCTTTTCTGACAGACTGTAAGCTTCCCCAGATATTGGATAACTAGATTTCTTGAAAGGGATACAATGAAGGAATGAAGTGTTATTTTCAATTTCAGTTTCTGACTATTAAGACTAGGCTGTTAACCTATTTACATTTTCTTTCCCTAAAACATATCATCTAAAAATAGTGCACGCTGGGGAAAAGCATTCTCCAGCTAGCACTTTCACTTTCCCTGTAGACACATGTAAAGGGGAAAAAATGCTTAATTTCATTTCTTTCTCAGACATCACTCGGTAGGGAATATTGAAAAGACCTTAAAGTATTTTAAGGATATGAAGAGCCTCACTAAAATAAGATGGTGTTACTAAGATTCTAATCCTTCAGTGGAGCTTCATTTCAACAGTGGGATATTTGCAAATGCTTCATTTTTAAAACAACAACATGCACTCAGAACGTGATAACCCTGATTGCTATTACTATTTTCCATTTATTAGGTAAAGTGCCCTGCAAGGTTTGAATGAGGAAGGAATGGTTTCAATCCGTAGTTTAGTGAAGTGATTTAAGTATTGACATATCTAGACTTAGAGAGAATGAATGAACTCAGGCTGATCAAATTTTATGGAAGGAGGAAAGTGAAAGAGAAAACTTGATGTGACTTTGACTTGAGTCTCTGGATAGCATTACCAAATACCACCAGAACAGCACTTATTTGGCTACTGTTTTCAATGCTGTTTCATTTACTCCCGAGTATTAAAATTTATGTTAGCAACAAATTCCACATAGTAATAAACTATTACAAACAGAATACTGACAACCAGCCATTTTGTTACATTAAAACTACTCTGGTGATATGGCGGCAAAAAATTGCTAAAATATCTCCACCTTCATCTACAAGGCAAAAAATAACTCCTAAACTTATTGATAGATAAGAAAATTATAAATCAGAAAGGTTGTATTTAGACTTCACAGTAACTTTCCCTTGAGTGTATTGAATGGCTTTTTTGTTGAATTGTAGAATGACCCTGTATTCATCCAGATGTTATAATCAGCCACTCTGAGTCTTAATTTACTATATTTCCTTTGATGAATCAGTCATTTGCTTCAGGAAGCACCAGTGCAAAACATGAATTCATAGCACCCAGGTTGTAAGGGAAGTATTATGAACCTAACTGTAAAAAAATGGCCTACCACTAACTACAAGCTGAGATCCATTTCTTCAGAAAATATGCATGGTCTTATCATGGCTGGTCTTCAAGTGGTTGCTAAATACCAAGTTTTATTCATAGTGACCCTATTCAAATTAATGGAGCAAATTTACTCATGTTCATTAATTTCAGCTGGTCTACTATGAGTAAAACTTTGCCAAATTCTGTCTTTGGCTGATTTAAATGTGTTGTGTTTTTTCAATGCTTTATTGTTTCTCTTTTCTTACTTGGGAAGTATTTTTGTTGTTGTAGGCATTTTGTTGCTTTTCTAGTTATTGCAGTTTGTGTGTTTTTAAACTGTTTTGTAAGGGCAGTGTGCCTTGAGTATTATTATTATTATTATTATTATTATTATTAATTATTATTATTTTATCATCCTCGTCAGCATCATCACCATATTTTATACTGCTTTCGTAAACTGCTTTGTGAGAGCAGGATGCTCTGAAAGACAGGTTGCAAATTTTTTAAATAAAGAATTACATTGCAACATAAAAAGGAAGAGTAAAGACCAAAGGGCAGCGACTCAACATCTAGACAACCAAAGGGATTTTTCAGGCCCTTTATTTCTACTGCACTGCTGAAAGTCAGGGAACCCTCTCAAGGAGCATTCAAAGCAATGGAAGAGGCTCTAGTGGAAAGTTAGAATCACCATAGACCTAGTACACATGCTGGGGAAGATTGTTGGGCTGTATCTGAAATATTAATTAGATGTACCCACAGGAATGATTTTTTGGATGAAGCCTAAAATATTAATTTGTGTATCATAACTCTAGATGCTCCACCGAAATTCATGACTTTACTTTATCAATCATACAAATAGCTTGCCTCTTTATAGAGGAAATTCTTGATTAGAGTGAATACTAGAGTGAATAATCTACGCAGTGTATGAACCAGTACCACGATGGTGGCTACAGACTGTTAATTAACCTTGCATCTTTTTTCCATTTAATGTGAAGGGAACAAATTTAAGACTTGTTTTCACAAGTGAACAGCTTCTTTAGAGGCACAATGGCAGTGGAGCCTGTCAAGTTCTGCAAGGGCAACACTGAGACAGATGAGGGAGCTAGCAGAGACTGCCATCCCATGGACTGGGCAGATGAAGACGCCAGGTGATGGTTGGATGAGGACAGAGGTGGGTAGGGCAGTGTGCCCCATTACCCTGAAAAGACCAGCCTCCACTGCACAATGGAAAAATAAAAGTTTAATTTTTACCAAGTCATGTTTGAATAACCTATATCACTCAGTCTAATTTGCACTGCTCAATCTATTTGTTAATTAAGTAACCAGATTTAAAAAGGAGATTTGAATTGATTTAAATTGAAATCCATGGGAAAGGCAACATGCAATCAATTTTCATTGAATCAGCACCAGAAAGCATCAGAAAGCGCTGTGGGAACTGATGGACAACCCAAAAGAAAACAAAAGTACGTTGGAACTTTCGGTGTGTATTTCAAAATTATTCTCCCCTCCTAAATGTATGGTATAATTCTTCAATCAATTACACATTCTGATTGCAGAACAATGTAATTCATCAACAACTAGTTTTTATATGCAGACAATCACTTGGGATCTGATCATACCCGAAATATTGTTATGGGAGAAAAACCTTTATTGAGTAGACAGAGGTGACTACAAGATGTTTCTGCTGAAATGTAAGTGATGTTATCAAGAGAGATCAACTTTAACAGGATCTAGGCAGCTCTGAGTTCACTAAGCATAGCAGCTGGAGAGCAAGTATGATATTACACACAACTATTTCTGATCCTCTTCTATGTAATGCTGATTTTATTAGAGTTTTTTTTAAAATATATATCAATAAAACTCAAGATTTTACTGACATACTAATTGGTTGATTGGCCTATTTTCTTCACCAGTTATTCTAAGTTATAGAAGTATTATGTTGGCTAATCACTGAGACAAATTTAGAAATATAGTTTTTACTGAATTGCCTTAAGCCTTGGGCAACGGATGAATCCTAACTTTCCTGCACAAATAATAAAAATAAATCAAATAGCTATTGGGCCAACAGCAATCAATCACAGTATCTCAGAGGGAACCATTAGGATATTATGAAACACTTATTCAAAAGCAACCAAAGGAAAAATGTGGATTGGAGACAACTATATATCATCCAAATGTACAGCAATAAAATCTGCCATGTGAACAGTGTTGATTTTATTCTATGTGCTTTTGGAATTGGTCATACTTCTTTTACAGTTTTTAACTTCACACTTGCCGTTTACACAGCATTTTAAAATTTATTATAGTTGTTCCTCTGCAAGAATGTTGTTTTTGTATTGTGTCTATTCTATTACTGCCAGTCCCAATGCATTATAATTGGCCTGGAAATTCTTGGGGGAAATAACAGCAAAACACTTACAATGAAAGTAAAGCTCTTCATCTCCTTCTTGATCAGCTTTGCTATAGCCACAGTGTCTGTAAAAAAAGAGAGAAGGGCATTTTCACAAAATATATATAACTACAGGTTGATTTTCCCCTTCCCCCATTGTGAAAACTAGATATGAAATGGATATAAGAGTACGTATAAATATAAAATCCTTGTATGTTTTAAACTCATCCTTAATTACAACCCGTATACTGCTATGGCTCACACAAAAATTTGTTGGAAAGTGTGCATGTATGAGGAGTGGTGCATTTCAGTAATCACTTAGTGAATGTGCCTTCCGATCCATAGGTGAAAAGTACTTCAGCACACACATTAAGAATTGTTGATTCCACACAGCAACCCACCCAATGCGTCCCTTTTCAAATATCTAGAAGGCTGTCACATGAAAGATGGGACAATCTTGTTTTCTCCTGCTCCTGAGGCTAGGACCAATACCAATGGCTTCAAGTTACAGGAAAGGAGATTCTAACGAAACATCAGGATGAACTTTCTCAGGGTACGAGCTGTTCTGACAATGGAATGGACTCCCTTGGAAGGTAGTAGACTCTCATTGGAGGTTTTAAACAGAAGTTATGGGGGCATCTGTCATGGATGCTTTAGTTGAGATTCCTGCATTGCAGGGGGTTGGACTAGATATCTACAATTCTATTATTTCCTATAATTTTTCATGTATCTCAGAGGTGTTTTGGTCCCCAAATGTTAGGGTTAGGCCCTTGGGATCTTGGCCTTTGTCACGAATATTACGGAAGAGTCAATGAACAAATTCAAATAACCAATCATTCTAGTTGCTTAAGTTCATGGAACGTCCCTGTCATGTTTTCGAGAAATAGCTATCAATAAAACAAAGCTTTTAGCCAAACCATGCTTTGAGTGGAAAATATTACAATATTTAAGTTGAAAACCCTACAGATGCCAATGCATGGCCGACGAAAAATTCCTTAAAATATAATTCATATAAACTACCTATTAACAACTCTCTTAATATCCATAAGCAGTACCTTCGTCCAATGATGAAGCCAAAAACCATGAAGACCAGAATGATAGTGCCTGCCACAGCTACCACAGCTATGATTATTACAGGATTCTGTTCACTGGAGACAGCAGTGGCTGCCAACAAGAAAAAGAAGAGAGAAAATGTTAAAGATGAATCCAGTATGCCGTTCTGAAACAGATTCTGGCACGATTCTACAACTTTAGAGACTATTGTGGGTATACAGGTTATCTCTTTTTTAACCCCAAAAGGCAGGATAGACATTTTATGTCTTAGCTACGATCAGGCCTGCTGCATTATCCTGACAAAGGTCCTGAGTCTAACTACAGTTTGACAGGCACAGAAATTCAACACGTGCAGTTTTGCCCTCGCTACATGTCTATATTAGGAAAAGGTGCCTACTGGGTTTTTCCAAGCTGTTAAAGACACACAAGGATATCTGTGGGGGGTGGGGTGGGGAAGCAGCAATCTCAGCATGGGATAGGAGAATATTGAAATATTTATGAAGGTCGATAGTTACAGATGAAGGTTGCAATCCTATACACAATAACACAACAAAAAGTCCCACTGAACTTTTTTAACAGACACACATGGGGTTACATTGTTAGGCTGTAATCATATTCACCAGCGAATAAGTCCCACTGAACTAAACAGACTTGATTTATGAAAGACATGCGGAGGATTCTACTGCCAGTTACAAGTATTTCAAAACTGCACTAACTAAACAATTATGGATTTAGATCTATTTCCATCACCTTTAATACGGTAAATTCCATTAGCAATTGCTGTGGATTAAATAAACTCAGAATAGGCGCAGATATCTCAACGCCCAGATTCAGTGGCTGGAGAGGGTATATGAGGTAGGGGTGGTTATGCCCATCACAGAGCCTGCCCGATGTGCCTGTGGAGAATGCTGCAAGTGCAGATCTACTGCTGTCAGTGACTAGAATTACATTCCAAAATAGAGTGTTCTGAGAGTGGAACTAGGTAAAGGTAAAGGGACCCCTGACCATTAGGCCCAGTCGTGACCGACTCTGGGGTTGCAGCGCTCATCTCACTTTATTGGCTGAGGGAGTGGGCGTACAGTTTCCGGGTCATGTGGCCAGCATGACTAAGCCGCTTCTGGCGAACCAGAGCAGCGCACGGAAACACCGTTTACCTTCCCGCCTATTTATCTACTTGCACTTTGTGCTTTCGAACTGCTAGGTTGACAGGAGCAGGGACTGAGCAACGGGAGCTCACCCCGTCGCAGGGATTCGAACTGCCGACCTTCGGATCGGCAAGTCCTAGGCTCTGTGGTTAAACCCACAGCGCCACCCGCATCCCTTGAGAGTGGGACTAGGGCAGCCTTAAATCCATTGGCTCCCAAAGCCCCTATGTTTCCTCAAGGGACTCCATGATTGGGCCTGTTATCTACTTCATTCTGGAGCTGTCTTAATTCCTCAAGTGATTTTAGAGGGGTGATGATTATTATTTTTTTAGAACAACCACTTGAGAGGGATGAAAATGTGTTGTTCCCCGTTACTTCCTGCCCCTGGCAAGGTGGCAGGCTTGAGAAATGTCACATTGTCTCACCACTTCGCTCCCGCTAAGAATTGTTACATATTAATAAAAGTAATAAAAGCAATAGCGATGAGTGTACGTTTTACAAGCACTCACATGTTAGCAACTTTTTCTAAAACTGACATTAATTCAGACTTTTCACTTGTTTTCTTCTGATTTTGAAAAGAATGGTCCATACTGAAGTTACATAAATAAGATCTGAAAACTGAATGAAGATCTACAGTATCAGTAAATTATTTACTGCGCTAAACTCCAATAACAAGAGTTCTGGCCCCAGAAGCCATGTCACTTATGTCAGAAGAAGAAGAAAAACCCTTAAGAAGCATGAGTCATAGGGAGACAATAGCTAACTAGGAACAAAGAGGTGAGAAGTTTAATATTAACTTTTTTTGTGTGTTAAATAAATAAACCCACCAGACAATGAATTATAGTGTATTATGTATACTTTACAAAATAAATAACGTTGCTTTATATGAACATCTGGTCAGACACGTAGTCTGGAGAGAAGCCGAATTGGATGGTTTTGATGTGGAATAGTCTCCCTTTTTTGATTATATAAATAGGGAGATTCATAGAAATACTCCTCCCATGACTCATTCCTCATTGTGGTTGGGCTATATAGACTCATCTTAAAAACTTGGCTATATGTAACAATATCTCTGTAATTAGATTTTTTTTATACTGAATATGTTATTGTATAGTTATGTGTTAGTTTGCCCATATGTTTATGATATATCAATAAAAATTAAAATAAATAAATCTCCAATCCATGCAGTTTTCCAGTGGAGGATTCAAAGCATAAGGCCATTCTGTTCTTGTGGCATAGTTTTCAGGGTGTGGGGGGTGACTATGAGTTGAAAGTTGAGAGGTATAACTAATCTGGGTTTCACCTGCAGTCTTAGGCACTGAGCCAGCCTGACATCTAATGACAGACTTGAGACTTCAGGTGAGAGGCAGAAAACAAGTGCCACTGATGTGCCATCAAGAAAGAAATGAAGTGTCCACAAATTCAGATGTTCATTAAAATAAGGCATATACATACTCCACCAGGGGCTGTTTTTACAGGGCAACTGTTGTCTCCCCAGTACCATTCCAACCTTTCTTACCAAGACACAGTGTTTTCATTTATATTGATGCTCTTAATTGGCATAAGATATAATTAAAGTTTTACTCTTGTCATACATCAAACAAGCTTGCTTCTCAAGGAAAAAGAAAACAAGTGAAGTAGAAAGGGAAAAGAAAAAAGAAATACGAAGGAGGAAAGTGTCACAATGTAATATTAATAAAAAATACTTTTAAAAAGAAGATGCAATTAATTTTTACCTGTGGCTTCCTCTAGTGTGGCAACATCTAGCCTAGGGCTATAATTTCCATAGCCAGCAGCAGTAAACGCACGAATCTGGAAAACATAAACTGTTCCTGGTTTCAGATTATTCACCGATACAGAGGTGGCTCTGGTTTTCACTGTTGAGTAAGTTCTCTCCCTTTGGTCCTGGAAAAGCAAAGATAAATGAGTGGATAGTATTTAAACCAGAGATTTCAAATTTGCTCCATTACACCAATGGCTATATAACAGCCCCTGGTCCTGGCACTTTATTTCAATTTGCTACAAAGACCATCTCCTCCCCGCCACTCCCAAGACTATCCATGGTGCTCGCTTTGCTTATGCGATCACAACCTGGGGGGGGGGGGGAATAAAGAAATAAAAGGATTCCCCTGCTCTTCATTTCTTTATTCCTGCCCACCCAGTTTGTTTGTTTTTTTGGCAGCTCAGCTTTTGGAAGAAGCCGCCAGGGCTCACACTTCCCTCTCAAAGCCCAAGGCCTTACTTACTCTGGAAATGCCCTTGACTTTTTGTATTTCATTGTATGATGCTTTAGTTTCTGTTGGCTGATCATCAGTTGGCTCTAATAGTGTATTAAGTCAGGTTTTAAGTAACGCAGCAAACTATATCTCCACACAATTTATTTCTTCCCCACCACCTTGCCCTGGACCTCTGAAAATGGGGTATTTTATTGTTCCTTCATATAATTTTTTACTTTCATTTAGGCAGATAAAGAGTAAGTCATTCTGCATGACCCTGCTGTGTCTTCTGGGTGAAGATTCAATGTGGAAAAAGAGGTCCTCTGGCTGTAACAGCTGTCCATGAGCTACAGGAGATATGTGTCTGCACTGCTTTGCAAGGGACAAAGAAAATCAATTTGGAACAAAACAAAAAAATAAGTCGAGTTTTAATGGTGTGTGAAAATTATTTTATGCTGCTTGTGAATGGTTTGGGTTGCATGGTTTTCCTCCTATCAATCTTAGTGCTTTAAATTCTTTGTTTATGTTTTATGATTTATTTATTTTTAAAATGATCCACCTAGAGGGCATATTGTTAAAATGTTAAAAATAATAAAGAAGAGCTCTATGGGTGGGCAACTGTGCACACATGTGGATCTGCATGTAGTGAACTGCTGGTCAGTGCATTCAACTTCCATGTGTATATACACATGGAAAAACCTAAGGTTGGGTTAAACCATAAATTACCTGAACCTATTATAGGATGGAGCCCATTTGGAAGTTTCTCTGTGCAAGCTTCACTAGAGCACTTCTCAGCTCCTACTTTTCATTAATTTCAGTGGGGCTCACAGAGAACTTTGCGTGGACAGACCGAGCCCCCCCCCAACCTCAGGTGAGCCCTGAACAGAATAATGACTCAAGACAACATGCTATGGGATTAAAATTGGCCACAACTTTATTAAGTTTCAGATGTAGGGAGACCTTGGCTCAGGCATTGGGTGTTTATCCTTCCCAGTCCCCAGCCGGGGATCTGGGAAACATCAGGGTTATCCAGAATGTGTGGGGATTGGGCTGGCTCTGGAGAACATATGTTCAAGTAGAGAGCCCGCCCCCCGTTTTGACGCTGTTGGAGGGGAGAGCAATGACAGCCTCTTGGTGTATGGCCAATGCCTCCCCTCAAGACCCCTTTAACGGGGAACTCTGGGATCACTGCCGCAAGGGGGCATGAGTCACTGCTTCACACCCCCCCCCCCAATTTAGGAAGATAGACTAAAGGATTCCACCCAAGGCCTGAAACCGCAAAATTGTGACATTTTGCTACGGGAAAGGCAAAACCTGCCAATGCAGGAAAATCCCTTTCTGGCCCTTCAACAGCGACCCTAACATAGCAGCGCCTGCGTACCTGTGGAAAAGAAGTTAAACGATTACTGAAGAAGGGCAGGGTGGGAGAAACTCTGGAGCCAACTGACACTTCGCAGCTAAGATTCGCCTTCTGTTGTGTGGGCTGAGTGGTCCCTCCCCTTGCCTGGCCAATCCCCAGGCGGGATTCGGCGATTGGCTGAGGTAAGCGGAGACCTCCAGGTATCCAGCCTGGGGAGGATGAAGCCAGCCCAAACTACCAGGGGCCGAACTGGGATCCGGGGGCCTGCGCACGACCACACAAAAGGCGCCCCCCATTTGATGTGGGGAGCGCTCATTGCCATGAGTTGTGCCTAAAGTAATCAAAGAGTGATCACACTTTGTTTTGTCACTTTGACCAGCACCTTCACATGAAAACTCCAGCCATTTCTACACTAGCGCTTGAAATCGGTTTAACAGTTATCCTCTCAAATAAATCCTGGGATTGTAGTTTGTGGTAGGGTAGGAATCACTGGTAGAAAATTCTCAGCACATCACCAAACTACAATCCCCAGGTTTCTTCTATGGCAACATGGTGTAGAACTGATACAGGTATGTTGTGTAGATCTCCTCTCAAGGAAAGACATGCATATTTGTTGGGGGGAAATGTTCCCTATTTAAACACTAATTTTATCTTATGAAGTATTTTAAATACAAACGATTACAAAGCTAACTATTTGCTGGGGCATTTTTTTTATATTAACAGATGATGACAACAGAAACCTGGCCTTTAAACCACAGAGATTTGCCAGATTTTAATTATAGTTTAGCACAAAGTGAGTTAAAATATGTTTTTGTGTGTGCAGGTTTAAGAAAAGAATTGTTATACTTCTTTTAATTAATCAATTATTTCTAAAATAGGGAAAAAAAGGAAGGGGGTGGAAAGGAAAGTGCTAATTTGTGAAAAACAATATATCATGACTTCAGCTGTGAACGTATTTTATATCTAAAAAGATGACTTCACTAAAAAAAAACCCTGAAGTTTCCGTGAACTGTACAGCTGCCTGAGTTTACAAAAACTGGGCCAGAAACCTCTGATTTGGAGACATAACGGATTTCCACACTTCCATTTCTACTTGTCAAAATTGTATTAAAACACTTTAAATAGCATTTGCCACTTTATTTAAGACCTGAAAAGACTTGCTATTCTGCAATATGTGAGATAAAAACTGCTAGAGCAATTCAATGCTACCAAGTAAAACTGCCTGCTAGATATTACTGTGGTACAAAAGAAAAAAAGAAAAAAAGAAATCCCAACAAAAATGGAGGAGTAATAAAAAGATTTTGATCAGAAAATAGTTACAAAGTATGTTTTTATTTACGTGTATATTCTAAATGGAAACATTTAGTTTTTTAAAAACTTTAAACAAGTGACATACTGTGAAGGGGTGATTTTGTTAACTTGTGATAGCTCTGTGTATTGTATTTTTACCAAGTTTGTTTTTTCAAAATTAAAAAAAGTTTGTTGACCTTTTTGTGCTATGTGATATTTTACGAGCTACATTTTTTTTTAGTGTGTTGATATTATGACAATACAGACTGTGTTTGTATTCTTTTGCTTTGGTAGAAATAGAAATATATCATTTATTTATAATTGCTATTAGAATTCATTACATTATTTTTATATATCATATATATTTATATTAGATTTTGATCTCATTCTCTTTATTATGACAGTAGATATACTATATATCACTGGGAAATCATTCTAACACATGTATGCTCACAATGAGATTTATAAAAGAGCTTGGGATCCTGAGAGCACTGAGAGCTAAAAGCTGGCAAATGTAATTGAGGAAAATAATTTATTCCACTCAAAGTGGAAGGAAAATAGAAAAGCTAGGTAGGTCATCAGATCCAATTTTTCCAAGTAACCCCACCAAGGCCAGCACTTATGCTGTTAATAAATTTGGAAGATAAATTTAGAAGAATAAAAGGGTATATGAAGTTTGTTCCAATGTAATGTTTTTCTTGCACAAGTAGCATTATACCAAGGAACACAAAGGGGTGGGGAGGAGAATTTTGCAGGAAAAATCTTTTTTTGCACAAGACTCTTCCTTCTGAGCTAACATTTTCTTCCACAGAAATTATTGGGAAATCTTTATATATTGTAACACAAAATCCCGCAGATGAGATCATAAGTCTGCCTATTATAATTAGGGCTGTCACCAATTAAATAATTTTAGTGGATTAATCACCTACATTTTAACTTATAAAGCAATTGGATGTACATTACTTTGCAAACTATGTTAAAAAACATAGGTCCGTTCTTGAATTTTGAAGGCATTGTGAAATAATAAGTTCTCATTCATTTTTAGAAGGAAATGAAATCTTAAGACTTCTTTTGTTCCTTCCCCATGTTGCAGTAAGCAAGAGGAAGAACAAGTGCACCTTGAACTCACAGTCCTAACAATTAAATTTGCCATCATTGATGAATGAATTTTGATTGATTGATCTGGTGATTAACTGTTATTGTTCTATTTCCTCAAATACTTTAAAAAAAAACAAAACAAACCATGCATAATACAGACACGATGACAATAAAGAAAACAGTAAGGAAGAATCACGAGTGATAAAAGTAAAGAAATCCCAGTCTGTGCAAAACATTGCCCATGCCAGAAGGAAGAGTAGTATATTTCAGAGTAGTGCTTACTTTCTCGTAATACTTGATTTCATATTCTGTGATGACTCCGTTGGGATGCTCAGGTTCCTGCCAGGAGAGCTCCACACTCCTCTGCAACACTTTCTCTTTCATTACGCCGCTAACTTGCGAGGGAGCTGTTTGGAGGAGACATGTCAATAAACAATAAGCAAATGCGCTGGAAGTCTCCAATCAAGTGTCACCACTGATCAGTCCCCTGCTGCGTTGCTGTCATTAAGGTAAGAGAAAGCACCTTTCCATAGTTCACAATTCAGAAGCTAATGAATATTCAAGCAGAGCCTTATTACTGCTCATAAACCATAATAGAAATCTAAATTAAAGTGTAAACAGCAAAAGACAGCATTCTTCAAGTTAGTGCAAGGCAGCAATTGATGGGATCAGAATGACAATTAAGCAAATGAATTCTAATTAAACCGCGAAAATATGCTTCCAGATTAATCTCCGGTGGTAAACCACTAGACCATATATTTGTTACAAACGTTTCAACAACACTTGTAAGACAAATGAACAAATAAGGAGGCAAAGATGAGGTCATACTTTAGACCCACATTGTGTGTAATTCCAGCTCAAGTTCAGTCCCATCATATTCTTCCAGTAATGCATACAGTTTGAAAGCAAAGAGCATGCATCGCTGAAATAGAGATCTGCTTTAGTTGCAGATCTGGTAGCATTTTTCTTTTGAGAAGCTTGCTTGCTTGCTTGAATAATCATTTTTTAAATGAGGCAAGTTTATTTAACTGTTATTAAGAAGACATTTATCTAGACTAGGGGACACACTAACCCACTGTCATTGTCAGCATCTCTGTGACGAGATGATGCTTGAAGAGAGACTCCTGAGTTTTCAGCTGGACACTGGGAAGAGGGTGCACCCTTACAATGTCAATGTGAACTCATTCACCCAAACACCGATGCACGGTTAACACCTGCTGTGCTTTCTCTTTCTCCAGCAGATTGACATAAACATTACCTGACAAAGGAAGGTGCCCTATCAATGCTATCATTATAGCAAATTTATTAAGTCTGTCACATAGATATAGAAATCATACTCAGTTTATCAAATTAGTTTTAATAGATGAAACTAAAATTGAATATGCTAAAAATACTTTTGAAGAGAGAAAAATATTGTGTTTATATTGGGGGTGTACTAAACCACAATATTTGATTTGGACCCTGCTTTGAAGACTGCCTAATTCGGCTTGGGACCTGCTTTGGAAAAATCATGCTTTGTAATCTTTCCAATTCACTGTTCAGATTTTTTTTTTTTTAAAGGCTGTAACTTTCTTTTTTATGGAAGAAGATGGAATTTGCCCCTCCATAATGGATAAAGCATGCCAAATTACAGGCCGTTATGTCCACCATTTGTATGTGTGTTGCACACCATTAAAGTATGGTGCGTGTTTTTTAAAAAATAAATGTCTATATAGAAGCATAATTTGATGAAATTTAGGGGCTTGGTAAGCCTTTCTGAGGGGATGGATCCTACCAAATTTCAGAAGGAGGCCTCCAGTGGGTTTCCCCAAAGGTTTCTCTTACAGTTTGGGGACACTTAAAAGGAAAAGAGAAGAAAAATCCCTTAGCCTACATCAGACTTCCTCAACCTCGGAGACTACAATTCCCATCATCCCCGACCACTGGTCCTGCTAGCTAGGGATCATAGGAGTTGTAGGCCAAAAACATCTGGAGGGCTGAGGTTGAGGAAGCCTGGCCTACATAGCAGGTCCCCCCTCTCCATTAGTCTGAAAATAAGTGATATGGGAAATCAGACAAATAGATCCAGCGCTTTTGTGCTAGGCATCTACACTGTGGGGGCAGGGAGGGTCAGGTAGGGTGGAGGAACAACTAAAATGGATTCATGTTCCTCCCTATGGTTTTGTTTGTGAGCACTGATCAAATGGTATTAAGGAAGGTACAAATGGTATTAAGGAAGGTACATAGGTGGTACTGCACAGAGCAAGCAAAGTATTTTGATATGAGGAGAAGGCTGGAGTTGCCACCGGAAAGTTAGATCTTGTGAATCCATAACTTCTTCACCTCGAATCCTCCATAGTCACCTGCTTAAACTGTTTCCACATTTTGGGGGAGTGGAACATGGAAGCCTGAGAGGAAGAGGGAGAGTTCTTACTCTGCTCCATGTGTCTCTTGCCCTTCCTGTCTGATTTCTCTAACTCTGCCTCTTTCTTGATTAAGAGCAACTGGTGCTCCCTGTGCAAGAGCATGAGTGGGCTGCTGGTGCCCTGGAATTTTCTGCTTGCCCAGCTGCCACTTGCAATAGCTAGGATCCACTGGCAACTCAAAGCTGTGCACTGCTCCTGCCTGTAACCATGAAGCTGTACTTGAGCTCGGTGAAGGGGAAGGGGGGCAAATGGCCAGTGCATTAGCCATCATGGTTTGCGGCCAGCACCTTGGACATGCCTCATGGTCAGACAAATAATGGACTAACAACAGGGGTATGACTGTACAATGATGATGCTAAAAGACCAAATGTGTATTGTGTGATGCTTTGCTGCTTTCAGCAGTGAATGCTAGCAGGAAGAGGAAGAGCAGTAATAACAATGGCTGAATAAGGCAAACTACAGCTATAAAAATCACTTGGGACAAAGCTACGGGTATGAAACGCATGCACAAACGAACATTCAAATCAATTAACAACTTAAGACAAAGAATAGGTAAATGACAAAACTTGAGACAAACAGACTGAATTTAAGTCAAAGTTCCTTCTACAGTTGTTCTGACTTTAATAAGAACAACCAAGCAATACAAGATTCAAACAAAAACAACAGCAAGATTCAATAGAAAAGGAATATGATTTGAATTATAATTTGATTAGTATTTGTACAATTTGAAAGGGAAGGGTAGATAAAGGAAGGCATTCTGAGTTGGACTTAAGCAAAATAAAAGACTCTTCAGCTACTCCAACAGAACTCTCTCTCTGAATAACTCTTGAGAGACTGAACTTGCAAAGGATCAAGAAACATGTGAGGCTAAGGCTATTTATTTACTTCGGTTTGGCCCTGGTAAACTCACTCAGGGCCGTCTTTACCCGGGGATGCAAGGGGTGCGGGGCACCCGGGCGCCAAATTCTGGGGGACGCCAGGCACTTGCTTAACTATCTTAACTATCTTACCTGTTATGAAATAATAAATAATTTTAATCAAGGCTAGAAAAACAAAATACATATATAGCTAGGTATTATCAAAATGTATATCTATTGTTTCACTAAAGGACTTTGTGTGCTCATTTACCAAAGATGTACCGTCCCAGCGGCGACGCTTGTCATTCACAACAGCGCCATTCATGCAAAATTAACTCTTACATCAAAACATTATGTTATGTATTGTATTGAGCTGCTATGCAGCAGAAGGGTCAGCAGCACCTTTGACATGACTGATGTTTCTCCTAAGTAGGTGCCTAAACAATACTTATAAGTTTAAGTGTGGTGGTGTTGTATACTTAAGTATAAGTGTATTGTAAATAAATGAGCAAATAAATAAGTTAGTTTCTTTTTCCTCCCTTCTTTCGTAAACAAGAGATAAGGCGTAAGAATGGTGTCTGACATGAGCATAATAAAAGTTAATTTGGGGGCTAAACTAAATTTGGGGGCGCTGAGTGGATCTTTGCACCCCAGCGGTGCATATGCTAAAGATGGCCCTGAACTCACCCACTTGGATTATAAGGTAGACCAGTCACTCATAATGAACCTCTCCTTCTTCCCCCCATTCTTCAACCTCCAATTTCCCCCCTTTCATTTGCTTCATCACCAGCTGATGATTCTTTCAAATAAAAATAAATAAATAAATCCTGGTATCAGCCATGGCAGGCCCTCTGGAGCCCCTTGACCGTAACATTTTCCACAACATACTGGGTGCTACTGCCAAGTCTGACCATAGGAACCTTTTTCCTCAGGAGTTAAGTGTCAATTCCAGGCTGGAACAAGTATTATCCCCTGGTCCTGTATTCATAATCATTAGCTGGAATTTAGAAGTCACTGGTCTGAAAGCTACCCTATCCATTGCTGTTGTTTTCTTCTTGAAAAAGACAGCAAAATATGTACAAGACACATACTTACAATCTGACCTGACTTTTCATCTTCTCACCCAGTATTTTGTGTATTGCTGTGACAATACAGGCTGAAATCGCAAAGGAAATTCCCGCTTGGCTGGTTTCTCCACTCAACAAATGAAATAATTTAATCCATCTGGCAAAGGGAAGCTTGGAGGATTACACTGTCCTTGGATGTGATTGCCAAACAACATGAGAAAACTTCACACTTCCTCCATGGATTAGAATAGTTTAAATAGACTGTTTGATATTTGCCAGACTGCTTCAAAGGGATCAAAATATAATTCTTAACCTTCACATACAGGCTGGGGGCAGGAAATGCCCATTCTACCACTCTCCAACATATGCATGAAAAACTGAAAAATAGACTATGGTCTATGCATTGACTTATTAGTGTAATACTGAAATTGAGGCTGGCTTTAGAATGCTTACCAGGCCTCTGAAATAAAAGGGATCTTATTCCCAGAAAGTATTCTTAGGATTGGGATGTACCGTAGATTCCAGCGTATTAGGCGACTGGGCGTATAAGACTGCTGGCAATTTGGGAGGTCGACTTATATGCCCAGTCTTATATGCAGCAGCTTCGCTGGGCAGCGGCAGTGGGCGGCGGGCTCCGCATGGGGAGGAAGCCACCCAGCAAAGCCGGCTTAGCATCACTGGGCAGCTTCGCCGGGCGGCTTCCTCCTGGCACGGAGCCCGCCGCCCACTGCTGCTGCCCAGTGAACCCATACCCAGCATATAAGACAACCCCCGACTTTTTAGAGGATTTTCCGGGGTTAAAAAGTTGTCTTATATGCCAGAATCTATGGTATTCTAAACTGGTTGTTGTTCTCTAAGGTGTCAGGCAGGGATATTCTTCCATTCATTTACATTAATTATTTTAACTTGAGATCCATCCAAAACCCTTCTCCAGGAAAACCATGTGTGCTCTAACAGAACTATGGCCACTCCACTTTTTTAATGACTCCAATCAAACAGAGAGTACTAAATGTATCAGTGGTACTGCATTCTAAATTAACTTGGGAATGGTTCATATTAATGTCAAAGAAATATTTAG